CCGGGGCGTGGCACAAAGGCAACACAGTCAAATAAGCAATAAGAGTCCCTTTATTATCTCCAACTTTGCCTCCAATGTCCAGGTTACCTTCAGCTGGAGAAAAACTCTCCCAGGAATAGCCTTTAACTGTAGAACATTCAGTCCAAAACAAGGTACATGCAGACTGTAACTAAAAATCCAAACAAACCAAACTGAAGTAATTAGCTTGACAGGGTAGGAGCAGGAATTTCACACTTGAAAGCATGGCAAAAGTCACACAGTTGGGAAGCCAGGAACACAGATAAGCCACAATGATACAAGATAAATTCACATTTGGTCCCAACGGCTTGCTGTGCGCAGCTTCCTTTTTTATACACTGTGTTCCCAGCTATAGCTAATGAAGGGAATCAGGGCTCTTTCCTCCCCCGTAAGCCACACAACTCACGTTGCTCCCTTCTCCGTTCCTCCCTGCATGCCCTAGGATGAAGAGGCCTGGATCTTCCTCTGAATTCCCTCTCCCTTGCTCTACCTCTTCCCTGCTCTGCCCAGCCGGACTTTGCCCTTCCTCAGTTTTTTCCACAACCAATGGAGCCACACTCCCACTCCCTGTCAGCTGTTTGGCTTCCCCCTCTGAGATGGATTCCGTCAGGGGCATGACATCTAAAGACCTGAGGTTGCCCTTACATCAATAGCAATAGCTCTGAAGTGAATAGAGCAGATCCAAATGTCACCTAGTCATGTTCTTGCCCCTATCATAAGATCTCTTTTTTAAATATCCCAGCCAGAATCATTGTTTCTTTTCAATCGTATTTAAACATACAGAGTAGGGGATGCAAGTAGACATTCTGTTTAAGGTAGCTGTTGTTTCTTCTTTTTGATGATGTGCAGATGGCCATTGTAACAGTGATTAAAGATATAACAAATGATACCTCTGAATGATGAATCAGAAGAGATAAGCTAGGGCATCTTCTTTCAACAGACTTAAAACAGGACCAAACCAACACAGTGAAAATACTGGGTTTGTTCCTTTCTCTGCAAGATGGGAATGAGCAATTATTCTTTTCTGTGTATATTACTGCAACCGAGGATGAGTTTGGAGGCATGTTGTACCCTCTGAGTGACCCAGCTGAAAGCAAAGTTATTCACATTTGAGACAGATTAACCTCATTTGATGGGAAATGAGGCATTAACGGGTTCTTATACATTATACAATTTTTATTACAATTTGGATGATTACGCTCTAGAGCTCTAACTATGAAAATTAAGCACAAATAATATAGAAAATTTTGGAACAAGAGATGGAGAATATCTATTAGGACCTCCATGGCTTTCTTTATGCCAATGTAACTGAATTTCATCAGTATATTTTCTAGCGTTTCAGGCTCATGCAGTTTATGTGTCTCAACTGAGTGCCTCCACATTCTAACAGGACCTATGCAGTGGCAAAATTACCTTATATTTTTCTAACTTCATTCCATTACATCCAATTATGTTCCTTTGCACAACTTCAGATATTTGTGCATTACAATATGAAAGAAAAGGAACGTGCATCATAACTGCTTCCACCACCCAAAAAGTAAGGAAATGTTTTATATTATGTTGGTGGTATAGATATTGAGTTATGAAGTTTTTTTATATATCACCCCAGATTAAGTATTTGAGTTTCTGTCATAAAAGAGCAATGGTCTGATTTCACAACCCATTTCAGCTGAGATACTTGGATTTAAGACATTCATTTGCAGTCAGCAAGAATTAAGTTTAAATCTCCATTTTTCAGATATGAATGTGGAAATGGACTGAGGACTTTACTAATGCTTGGACTTAGTCAATGTGAATACAGTCTTGAATATAACTTATGCGTGCACTACTTTGCAATAGATTGCAAACAGAGTTTAGGGCTTTTCTTAAAAAAATACTGGAGAAGATAACCTTATACCTATTTGCATCCCAGATGGCTAATATTTCATATAACTGGGAGGTGTTTTTTGAATTCTTTTGTACAGTCAATACAGTTCTAAATCTCAAATCCTCTGTGGTTATATTCAGATAAAATGAGTGTTTTAACTTCTATATAGTGCTGGACAGGACATCTGACTCCAATGCTAGTTAGAAAATGCTGGCTCTCCATTTGCTTGCTGGTCCATTTAAGTTCAGTCTCCTCAATCTTTTGCCCTCAAATCATATGTTTGTGGGTGAGATTTCTTGTCATTATAATTCCCCAAATAGGTAGTCCTTGATTTATGACCACAACTGAGCCCAAAATTTATGTTGTTGAGACATTTGGTAAGTGAGTTTTGCCCCCTTTTACATCTTTTTGTGCCTCACTTGCCAAGTGAATCCCTGCAGCTGATAAGTTAGAAACCCGGTTGTTAAGTGAATCTGGCTTCCTCATTGACTTTGCCTGTCAGAAGAGCACAAAAGGGGATCAAATGAACTTGGGACATAGCAACGGTCATAAATATGAACCAGTTGCCAAGCATCTGAATTTTGATCACATGATCATGGGGATGCTGGAAAGGTCGTAACTGTGAAAAACGGTCATAAGTCAACTGTTTTCAGTGCCAATGTAGCTTGGAACAGTCACTAAGTGGACTGTTGTAAGTCGAGGATTACCTGTATATCCAAAGGATACCAGACTAAGGAAGATTGCACTGAACAGCACAAGCTTGGCCAGTATTGATAGTCTTGAAGACTGTGTCAATACTGACTTATCCAGGAATTAAGATCTACCTGCAAACCTTGTTCTCTCCTAAATGTCAATTGTAAACTGCTCAAAGTAGCAACTTGATTTTTTTGCCAAGGGACTTCCTAAACCCTAATTTGTAGTAATGGTGTACCCCCCACTACAGCCATTTGTGAGATGAAACTGGCTACTGAGTTAAAGTAGTTAGCCTGTAAACTAGAATCTATATCTTTTAAGCAGTGCAGAAGTACAGTAGTAGGAAATGTTCTTGATTTGGCAAGATGTTCTTCCAGAGATTGTGAGGAGGAATCTCAATGCTGAACTAGATGCTTATGCGGTGCATAGATTTAAAGCCAGCTTTTCACAAATGGGAGGAGCTGTATGCTAATGAAAAACATACAGTTTGCAGCCCTATGGATTTCCAAAAGTATGCCTTAGTAGGAACGATGGTATAATTGCATAGCTTCAAGTATGCTGTGTAATGTTCAGATCTCTTCTCAGAACTATGTTGTATTATTTTTCCCCTTTAAAAATCCAGGAAGTATTTACAAAGCATTCAGTCCAGACACTTCCCAACCAGCAACAGAAGTCCATCATTATGGCCCCTCATTATTAAATGTCTCTTGTTGGATGAAAGAGGTGCTTCCTCCCACACAGTCATTCATCAGCACTTGCCAAGTGGGCTCACATCTGACCTCTGCAGTAATAATGCTGTATCAAATAGGCCAACTACCCAGTTTAGCAACAGAGCAGAGAGAGTAAGCTGGCTTCAAGATTAAGTGCGCTGTTTCAGGTTTTCATTCCCAGGTGCAATGCCGGCTGATGTTGTATTGATTGCAAAAGTTTACCCGTAAGTATCACAAACAACAATAGCTGGGTCAATGATTGGTGATGCCTGAATATGAATTCCCTTGCGGGAGTCTCATGCTCTGGGCTACGGCACTATTATAGGATGTCTGAGCGCCAGTTGAATAAGGCTTGCCATGAGAGAAAGAGAGTGAGGATTCATAGTTTGAAATGACATTTAAGCAACTTCCACTCGGGAACAGGAGGAGAGACAATGATGCAATTATATATTCCCTAGTTTCAGAGTGTAGCAGAAGCCTGTCATCACTCAAAGTTCTCAGGTTCGCCGGACCTTATTCGTAATACTTCCAGGTACCAAAAGGCTCAGACAAATTCTAGGGAGCGACGTCACTTTAATCCTTTTATGTGAGTGGCCTGCTTGATATTTTAAAAAAAAAATCGGAAAAAAATTAAGACCTCTGAACATTCTGTGGGGGTGAGTGTGGGTGTAATATTTCATTGAAACGTTTTAAAAAGGAGTAAAACAATAATACAAATTAGAAAAAGGAAGAAAGAAAAGAGAAAGCTACAGTTGAAAAAAAAAGAAAAAAGAGGGAGAAGAAAAATAAAAAGGAAAAGATACAGAGAAGTAGTTTCTAATCTTCTTTACTCTAGTTATAAGTACAATTGTAAATTTATGTCTTTAAAGTTACCTCATGACTCTCTTCTTTGTATAATCTATCTTGTCCAATCATCAAATCATGTATCATAAGGGTTTTTTTCTGTATTATGCAAAAAGTCCACAAGGTGTTTCCAGTATAATAAGCATGGATATTGTCTTTTCTCTAATTTTAAGCAGATCAATTTGGTCATCTCAGCAAGTTCTATCATCTTCACCAACCATTTCTCCATTATAGGTATTCCATATTTCGGCATACAATAATCCTGCTGTGTTTATCCTACATAAAAACAAAGTTCCATGACTTTTTTCAACTCTTTATCCTTCAGTCCTAAGAGGAAAAATTCTGATTTCCATTGTATATTAATAAAACCCTCTGAATCAACATATTTGAATGCAAAATTTTGCAGCTTTTTTGCAGGTTCATCAAGCATGATAAAATGATCCTTGTTGTTGTGCTCATTTCCAACATAGATTTGAAGTATATATACATTCTAGTTATTCCAGTGGTTATTCCATTTTAGAAAAAATATATTTATAATATAGATATAAATTTCTATGTTTTAAGTACTTTTCCCCATTGTTCCATCTATATACATATATATTCCATGTTTCCCCGAAAATAAGACCCGGTCTTATATTAATTTTTGCTCCAAAAGATACATTTGGGCTTATTTTCCATTTAGATCTTATTTCGGGAAAATATGGTACTAAATGCATCCATTTGGCTGACAATTTTAACTTAGGCTTATTTTTGGGGTAGGGCTTATACTACAAGAAACCTGAAAAATTACCCTAGGGCTTATTTTCCAGTTGGGTATTATTTTCAGGGACAACAGTATTATAAACCAAATTTTTAGCCCAATTTATCATTCTCCACTCGCTCTTCTTCTGTTTCAAATTTCAATAAAAGTGTACACATTTTAGCAATCACATGTTCAATATTTGTATATAATTCTATTTCAAAGTCAGAATATTCAATACTATAAATTCTTTTGTCTACTTTGAACTTTTCTGATTACTGTAAATAGGAAAATCATTGGTAACTATGTCCCTCTGGCATCAGTTTTTCTCTTGATTTTATTCTGTATTATTGACAAAATTCTAGTGTCTCATGGACTTCCGGTTTGTCGGCTTCGCGAGCGGCAGGGATTCGCGACACTGCGCGATCCCTGCTGCGCTAGCCATTTTTGGTGCTCCGATCCGGACGGGTTCAGAGCTAGGCTGCCCTGCAGGGGCGGCTGAAGATAGGGGGGATCCGGAGAGGGGTTTGGGGGTGTTGCAGACCCCCTCCCCAGCCGGCAGAACCCCCTTTTCCCAAGACAGTGCAGCGGCGGTCTGTAATGGCCGCCACAAAGAAGCCGGCAGCTGGGTAAGAATGCGCAGGAGGAAGAGGAGAAAGCCTTTTGAGAGTGAAAGTTTTCTTGGTTGACCCAGGACTCTAAGACATATTTAACACAATTCCTGGAAATTATGGCTTTTTGAATGATTCTTTCCAGAAGAGAAAAAAAGCGGCAATTTTGAGGTGCTGAAAGGAAAGTTTACTCTCCTTCCCTACGGAATTAACAAGTGGATACTGAGAAACCTGTCTTTTTCAGGTAAAACCAGCTTTATGTGATAAGTGGGAAGGGAGAGGACAAAAAATATATTTATATGTTAAGACTTTGTTGGAGGAGATGCCTTAAGGATTTGAAGACTGAAATATATTCTAATAAGGCTTTAAGATACAGATTTGGACTTTCTTTTTTTTTTTGATTGATACTACCCCAGAAAGAGAAAGTGAGAACTTTGTCTTGGCTTGGATTGATTGAGGACTTTGGGATTGTTCTATTTTTTTTAAATATCTTGGTTGGTGCAAGAAGAAAGAGGGGAAAAAAAGAAAAGAAAAGATTTATAATGGCTTCTTTTGCTGAGGAACTGAGAAAAGAATATGAGCAAACAAAAACAGATGGCAAAGATGGTGTGAAAGAAGCCTTCCTTTTTTTAGAAATGGCGCTTGCTAACTATCAACAAACACTACAACAGATGGAGGCAGCAGAAGAAGAAGAAGAAGAAGAAGCCATCTTTAATGAATTTCAAAATTTAACTAAGAAAGAAGGAAGAAAGGAAGGAAGGGAAATGAAGGACTTAAGATTTAAAAAAACACTCAAGAAAGAGAAAAATAAGGTGCAAAAGCAATATAATGATAGTAAACAAAAGAAAAAAAGGAACACAACAGAGAAGGGAAGCCAGTAAGGCAGAGGCTAGGAGAAGAGGGGGTAGAAAGGTCTGCTGGGGGAAGAAAGAAAGGGAAAAGGTGGAGAAAAGCCACAAAGTTTTGAAATTGGATGGGAAAAGAGGAATCTTTTTTAGGGACAAAGGGTAAAGTACAATTTCTTTAAAAAAGATTTTGCAAGATACATAAGATGGTATTGTAGCATTTGTATCAGAAATAGAAAATTAGAATGGTTTAAGAGTTAATAAGAGATTAAAATGTTGAAATGTTTAGTAATGATTGATTTTAAAATTTAATAAAATATTAAAGGGAATGTTTAGAATATTGAGTTTTAATTAAAGAGTTTAACATGTCTATGGTATTGATGTTATTATAAAATTATTATTATAGCATTTGTCTTTGGAAAAGGCAATGGGAATGTTATAAGATTCAATATTTAGATCTATTATTTAACTATGTATTTAATCATTTTGGATTTGTTATTTTTCTTTTATTTAAAATAAAAAATTAGTAGATAGAATGTACCAAGCAGAATCAGATTGGGTATTAGGTGTTATTTTAAATGTTAATTTAATTAATTTAGGGGGAAGACAGAAAGGCATCATACTCTGATTAGTGATTTCAGGAGAAATTCTTTTTTTTATTATAAGGAATGAGACAGAGGGATAATAAAGAATGGACAAAAGATACAAATATAATGACTCAAATTAAGATGGATTAAATAAGATAGAATTAAGAAGAGTGAAATGTGTGGAGAAGCTAATATAGAAGACATAGAATGGTAAATAAAATAGGTAATGACATGTAAGATGAGCATGAATATAATTGAAGTCCATGCAGAGAGAGGTACCTGGGGCCAAGTTACTTTCCTAAAAGATTTTTTATATGTTTGTGTGTTGTGTGTTTATGTTTCTGGGAGAATTAAATAAACCTTGCAGAAATATAGAATGAGAATAATGGTAAACAAGTCAGAAAGAAATAGATGAAATAATAACAGTGAAATTGAATAAGAGTAAAGAGAAGTAAAGAGAAATTGGATAAGAGGTATTTGTATGCTCATATGGAAATGGTTTAAAATAGAATTATATTGTATAAAATAAGGTTTTATTTGACTTGTAAAATTTACAATGGAAAAAGGTTTAAGTATGTAATGGTTAATGATGATTTGTTTGTCTTTAAAATTAATAAAATTTGCTTAAAAAAAAATTCTAGTGTCTCATGATATGTTTACTATTTGTGTTTGCCTATTATTTCACATCTGTAAAATGTTTCTTCTTCTGAGAGTCACAAAGATGTTTACAGGCACAACCTGGTTTTGTATATTCAATATTTTCAATATACCACATGAAATATAGTGATTTTTAAAAAAATCTACATTAACCTGGACTTTATCATACCACCAATATCCATGTCATGCCAAATCTTGGGTCATGTCCTTCTAATTCTAAAAGTTTTTTATTTCTCAGCAACATACATTTTATCCAAACCAAACAGCAACCTGCAAAGTACAATTTCAAATCAGGTAAACCAATCTTCCTGTATTCTTTGCATTTTGTAACAACTCATATTAAACTCGTGGCTTTGCTCCTTTACCACACAAACTTAGATATATTCTTTTGCACTGTGTAAATGGTGCATCAGTTGTCAAAGCAGGTATTGTCTGAAACAACATAATCATTCTAGGGAAAATATTAATTTTTAATCACAGAAATTCTCCCCAACTATAACAATTGTAATTTCTCCTATTTAAGCATATCGTTTTAAACTTCTTTACATACAATGTTAAGTATTTACATACCATTCATATTTGTCATAATGACAAATAACATACAATTCATATTTGTCATAATGAATAACTAGATATTTTACTTTTTTATCAATCTTGAACCCATTTTCTTTATCAATTCTTTTCAACCTCTATTTTCATGGGCTTTTTTTAGTTAACTTCTTTGTTTTCTGATTATTCATCTTAAAACCTGCTAGTGTGCCAAACTATTAATTTTTCACTTTATATGCCTGTGGGTGTGAGTGCGCGCGCACATGACTTGAACTGCATTCATTTATACCAAGCTTGTACCTAAAGGCACAAGTATTACATATTTATGACTAAGAGTTCCTAATCATGTAGCTATTTTCTTATAGTAGAAATTTTACTCATGATGTCATACTGAATTTCTTTTATTCTTTTTCTTGACTTGTCTTCAAGTGCTCCTTCAAAATACTTTTCTCTTTGAAATTGCCCCATACTTTCTCCTAACAGTATATCATCATTAAAGCCATGCTGTCGACTCTTTAACTGTCCATTTACAAGTAATAGAATACATCTCAGCAGCATTGCCTAGGGTCTGAGTAATTTAAGAACCAAGGTACTTTGTTGATTTAATTGATATTATTAAAAAATAATGTGATATATCCATCATAAGGAATGCCCTTATTAGTATTCCAGTTACAGCTACATTAACATTATATATTTAATGAGTAGTTCACAACAGTCAATTTGGAAAAAGATTTTTATTGAGATTTTATCCTGATGCAACATTAAAAGGACATTTTTGCAGATTTCTTGCTCAAAAACCATTACACTTCTCTGTTCTAATAATTTGCAGTGGAATTATATCCAGAACTAAGGAAATGAAGCTCTCGTGATGGGCTTAGTGTGGTAGCCGTTACTTCTTGCCTACTTCACTTTGATATGGGGAGTCAGAAGAATATCTCCACTTTACCAGACTGTGGAAATCTCAGAAATAGTGTCAAGAGGTTTGCTCTTCTCTAGGAGACAATTACTTGAAGAACCATTTTGAAATTCCTCTGCTCACATAGAAATCAGATTTGGCTTGATTGTTGTTGGTTTTTTTTAAAAAAAGATTGTTCTGTGGGTGAGCAAAGGGAAATGAATTCTGGAGTAAATTAAATGAAAGAAAATTGACCTGCAGAAATAGGTGGTTATGGAATCAACCTAGCAATTTAGGTACAAAACTGTATCATTGTAAACATATTTGAGTTTTGGGATCCATATCCCACTTTCATGTTGCATTCAGCTTTCAATCTAATGTCAATGAATGGCTCCCTCTACCTTAGGCCTTCACATATAAAAACATCTAGCAATGAAAACATTAACTATTATCTAATAACTATTTATCCTCTGGACTGTTTAAAAATATATAAAAATGTTATGTCTCACCTGTGCCCACGAGGTGAGAGTCCAAGTTTCCAAAGGAATAGAAATAAACAGACAAGACCAGTAACATCAGGGTTAAATTCCTTTGACTGGAGAAGTCCTTGGCAGTCTCCCACAAGCTGCCTGCCAAGTCCGATAATAAAATAAGAACATAAATCACAGGCAAACGCCACACAGAGGATTTGTCGAAGCTTCTATCCCAAAGTAACAAATTGTCCCGAACGAGAATCCAGAGCTAACATGCCCACTTTTATTCCCTGAGGGGCATGTCAGTCTCTCATCTCAGTCCCTGATTTGTCCTTTCCTTCTACGTTGCATTTCACGCCTATGCCTGTGTCTTTGCCTCGCATCAAACCAACATTCCTCAGTTTGATCCTCAGCCAGAGGCTCCGCTACGCTCTCTTGATTATCTGCCGACACCTGAGGCACAACCAGGGAGGAAGGTCCTGGGGAGGAAGGCAATTCCAAATCCTCCAGCAAAGCAGGCTCAAACCTCAGAGCCAAATCCTCCTCTTCCTCATGGCTCAAGTCTGTGTTCTCCAGCAAAGCAGGCTCAAACCTCAAGGCCAAATCCTCCTCTTCCTCATGGCTCAAGTCTGTGTCTTCTAACAGAGCAGGCTCAAACATCCGAGTCACAACAAAATATGTGCCTGTTATTTAGATAACTTCCACTCTAATACTATTTTTGCCCTTTTTATTCTCTGCTATTGCCCCTTTTATTCTCTGCTAGCTAGGGTACTACTTCCTTTTTTATTCTACCATCCCAGGTTTTCCTTCAATTTTTTCAAAATGTTTTCTTACAAGGAAGTTCTAGAACTTGAAATATTTATCCTGACAAGGAATGAATGAGTTAATGTAATATATTTGTAAAGGAGATAGATTAAATAATTCATTCCACTTAGGGAGGAGTAAAACTCAAGTCCAAAGTTGTTGGAATCAAAACAAAGATTCTATTTAAAGCATTTGCAAAGGCTGATGAATCACAATACACACCGGTAAGAGACCACATCCAAATAATGAAGAAGCTTACTTTTATAATCATCCTATTCCCGTCAGTTTATGCCACATCATTCCTTTCCAGGCCCAGTTGATAGGCCCAGTCTGGTCACATGCTTTCTAACCATCTATAATCTGTTATCACCCTAACTGTTTAAAGTTAGTCAAGCCCTTATTGTCACTCAAGCTTGCTAAGCATTCACACACACCCCTTATGTCCCACTTCTTTGTTATTCCCTTATCGGTTCCTCTATTTCACAAGAATTGCAGCACAGGCATGGAAAAGAACATTTCTCAAGTGAAAAAAAAAACATTTGAGAGAGAAAAACATCAAAGCAGATACATTCTCAGCCTGTCCAACGTTGGCTTGACTACTTTCTTTGTTCAAAGAGGCTTGAGAACAGCTAAAAATGCTACCATGTATTTAATGCTCTCCTGGCAGTCCTGGTCTCAAGGAGAGAAATAGAGAGGCCTTTTAAGGCTGATAGGAAATTATCAGTAAGAAAATTTAAACATGGCTGCAGTGTGGCTATATGTTAAGATACTAATGCTAGGTAATTTGAACACAGGATAAACCTTATATAAACTATAAAATGTAGTTTTAAATGGAAAATTACAACTTATTATGTTGTATACCCCACAACTTCTTTGGAAATAATCTTATTCTCCATTACTGTAATCTTCTATTCTCCATCTTATTCTCTTTCTTCGATATCATTCAGTGAATCACTTTCCTGCATCTAATGTATTTTTAACACTTTTTAAAATCCTCATTGACTTTGGTATTATTAGTGATAAGTTCCTCAGAATCTTTACTGTTTCTCTTTTTTTGTGAGGGTGCAAATTCATTTTCTGAAGCAACTCTTCTTTTCTGTCAAGGCATCCTTGACTATAATTGCTATTAATTACCTCAAACTATGAGAGGTTGTAACGTTTTAACTTTGCTTCTATTATTGTGATTTTGAGTTCCTCAGTACTATATAGCAGAGAACTGGACTAGTTATACAAGAACATATACAGATAGACCTCTACTTACAACAGTTCACTTAGTGACCATTCAAAGTTACAACAGCACTGAAACAAGTGACTTATGACGATTTTTCACACTTATGACCATTGCAGCATCCCCATGGTCATATGATTAAAATTCAAACACTTGCCAACTGGATCATATTTATGACGATTGCAGTGTCCCAGGATCACATGATCACCTTTTGTGACCTTGTGACAAGCAAAGACAATGGAGAGGCCAAATTAATTTAACAACCATCTAACAACCGTGTAACAACCATGTAACAACTGCAGTGATTCACTTATCAACTGTGGCAAGAAAGATAATAAAATAGAGCAAAACCTGTTAAATAAACTGTCTCACTTAGCAACAGAAATTTGTGGTCATAAGTAAGAACTATCTCTACCATATTTTGAATGCATACATCAGTATAATTTTGTTTTATTTATTTATTTATTTATTTATTTATTTATTTATTTATTTATTTATTTATTTATTTTTATTTATTTATTTTTGTCAATTGCCTAAGATAATAGGTATAAGTAAAAACATAGTTATGAATACATGGATACATATAAGAAAAATTAAAAAATAAATAAAAGAAACAATAGGACAGGGATGGTAGGCATGTTGGTGTGCTTATGCACGCCCCCTACAGACCTCTTAGGAAAGGTCAGTAGTAGGCAGTCTAAGGTTAAAGTTTTTGGGGTTTGGGGAAGAAACTACAGAGTCAGGTAGAGTATTCCAAACATTGACCACTCTGTTGCTGAAGTCGTATTTCCTGCAATCAAGTTTGGTGCGATTAACCTTGAGTTTGTATCTATTGTTTGCTCTTGTGTTGTTATGGTTGAAGCTGAAGTATTCATTGACAGGTAGGACATTGCAATGTATGATTTTATATACCATACTTAGATCGGACCAAAGGCGGCGTAGTTCTAGGTTTTCTAGGTCTAGAATTTCGAGTCTGGTGGCATAAGGTATTCTGCAACGAGTAGAGGAGTGGAGAACTCTTCTTGTGAAATATTTCTGGACTTTCTCAACTGTGTTAATATCAGATGCGTAATGTGGGTTCCAGACTGATGAGCTGTATTCGAGTATTGGTCTCGCAAATATTTTGTATGCTCTAGTTATTAGTGTAATATTACCAGAGAAAAAGCTACGTAAGATTAGGTTAACAACTCTTAACACCTTTTTGGCTATGTAGTTACAGTGGGCTCTAGCACTTAGATCAATAGAGATGAGTATTCCAAGGTCCTTGACAGAGTTTGGATCATCAACAAAATTGGGAGTATTCCAAGGTCTTGACTATTCAGCCTATATATTATTTTCTGATTTCTTTTGCCAATATGTAGGACAGAGCATTTATTTGTTGAGATTTGAAGTTGCCATTTGTTTGACCATTCCGATACATAGTCAAGGTCTTTTTGAAGGGTAGCAGTATTGTCTGTGGTGTTGAATAGTTTTACATCATCAGCGAAGAGAACGCAATTGCTCTTGATATGATCACAGAGGTCATTTATGGAGAGTATGAAAAAAGTTGGTCCTAGAACACTGCCTTGGGAGACACCACTGTTGACAGGTACAGAATTTGATAGGACACTCCCAATTTTGACCATTTGTTGCCTGTTTGACAGGAATGTTTCTATCCAGTTATGCAGGTGTCCCGAGATACCATAAGATTTTAGTTTTAGGAGTAGTTTGTCATGTACCACTGAATCAAAGGCTTTACAGAAGTCTATGTAGATTGCATCTATTGCTTTGCCCTGATCGAGTTGTGTAGTCCATATGTTTTTGCAGTGTAAGAGTTGCAGATTACATGATAGTTTTTTCCTGAAACCAAATAGTTTGTTAGAGAGTAGGTTAGTGGAGGATGATGGATTGGTTAATAATTGATTCCACGACTTTACAGGTGATGCAGCATAAAGAGATTGGTCTGTAATTTTCAACTAGACTGGGGCCTCCCTTTTTGAAGATGGGGATGACTGTGGCTTGTGACCATAGTTTTGGCAAGGAGCTGGTCCTGAAAGATTTTTCAAAGATTATGCTTAGAGGTTCTGCTATGGCAGTGGATAGCTTTTTTTGAGAAGTAGGCACATATTCCGTCCGGTCCAATAGATAGAGATGGTTTTATATTGCGTAGTGCTTTTTCAACATTGTCTTCTGTAAAATTGATATGTCTTAGATCATTGTAGTTGTCTGTGGTTCAACTAGGAAATACTGGGCATGATCCATTGCTGTTTACAAATACTGAGCCAAAGAATGTGTTAAAGAGGTTGCTTTAATAGTGTCGTCGTTGCAGTCTTTACCATTAGGTCCTTTCAGGGGTGGGATGGACCTTGAGGCTTTTAGTTTGTTGTTTACAAAGTTGTAGAAAGTGCGGGTGGAATTGGTGCGTAGAAGGTTTTCCTCTTGTTTAATGTGATAATTGGTGCATTCAGTTTTTATCTGGTGGCATAAATTTTTGTATTGGCTTTTGAAGTTGGCAATGTGACCAGATTTGTTTTTCTGCCAAAGTGATTTCTTTTTGGATTGAAGCTTCCTTATTGTTATGAGTAATTTGTTTTTTCTAGTTTTGGGAGTTGTTCATGGTACATATAGTTTGATGATTCTTTTGACTTCAAGTAAAAATATGTTGTAATGGTCTTCTACAGTATTGGATCCAGAGAATAGAAATTTCCAATCAAGGGGTGAGAGATCGTTGTTTATAAGATCATAGTTGCCTTTTTTGAAGTTATAATTGAGGATTCTGTTGTTGTGATGATTTTTGTGTGGGCATATGTTGAGACAAAAGTCAATCATGTTGTGGTCACTGTTGGAAAAGGGTTCTTTAATTTGTATTCTGTAAATTGAATTCAAACTATTGCAGAAGATGAGATCGAGGCAGTTGTTAAGTCTAGTATTGTTGGTTACTAGTTTTTCCAGTCCCAGATTTGTAACAGCATTGTAGAAGGTTGCATGTATGGGTTCAGTTGTACATTTGTTTAGGGTCCAGTTAATATGAGGTAGATTGAAGTCACCAAGAAAGATAAAAGTGTGTGGGCAGGATGTTGCCCATGTTAGTAGTGTATTTAGCTTGTTTGCATGTTCAATGTCATAATCAGGGGCTCTGTAACATAGTAAGAACCGAAATGTGATATTTAAGGACAGTTCACAGACGATGGTCTCAGGAATAGCAAGGCTATTTTTTTTAGTAAAGCTCCTAAACTATTGATTGTTTTGTGCTTTTTATCCTAGGGGCATTAGGAATATTAATAGCAAATAAGGGATTCCCTATTCCCCCCCTTCTTTGTCTTTGCAATATTTTTCCTGCTTGCAATATAATAGTCTCCTCTTCATCCTGTAGAAACAGTAGAATATCTCCTTCCTTCTTTTTTCCCCCCAGTGTAAGTACAGAAAGCTAACCCCACTCCAGGGGAAGGATACTGTAGAATCTCCATTCCATCCCCACTAACCTGCTTTCCAGCTCCGTTCTCCTGTGCAGGGCAACAAAAGAAGACCCAGCTGATCAGCTGGAACTCGGGAGGCAGAGAATAGATGAGGGCAGGATCATTTAGAGGTGGTATTTGCTGGTTCTCCGAACTACTCAAAATTTCTGCTACCGGTTCTTCAGAACTGGCCAGAACCTGCTGAATGCTACCTCTGGATCAGAGGTAGAAATGGGAAGTCTGTTAATTTTTAGAACATGACAATTACCTCTTTTGATTCAGAAAAGTAGCACTTGCAAAAAATAGAATAACTTTGCTTTATGAACAGAATGATGAATTGTTTAAAAATCAATACTTAAAAACAAGTTTTATTATATAAATTACTGCTCATACCATTGTACATTATCTATTAAATATTTTCTAAATATTTTGATGATTCTTCAGAATACTGTTATTTGCATAATTAAGTGTAGCCTTTTTATTGTACTACTTATTGAATTCAGTGCAAAATCTAATTAGGTATCTAATTGTTTTATGTCGTTTTTAGACTGGAAGACCAGAAAACAATGCTGGCAGTTGTATACTAAAATCTGCATCTGTTTAACTGCACTAGCTGAAATGTAATGTACTGAAAAGGTAATATATTTATATTACTTTTCAAAAGAGTTTAAAATAGCTGTGTATATGGTAAGAATATTAATAATATGCATTCTGAAGGAATAATGAATGTTACAAAAATCACTTTGGTTATAATTACCATTATGCTTTATTAATGGAAAATATTTGGCAGGAATAGTTAAAGTAATTTTTGTATCATTTTTCAGAAAGAAACATTTGGCAATATATTTTCCAATTAATGACTATCACTCTCCGACGTACTGAAACATAGATATTGTCATTTTCTCTTCAAACAATTTTAAATCAACATACATATTATTTTTCTTGCTTTAATATACACAAGAAATAACAGGGAAAAGATCAATTAAAAAGAGCAATTAGATTTAGATGGGATATCCTCCAATCTAATAAGGAAGCTAAACTTGTTTCAATTCCAAAACCAACTAAGGTAAAAAGATGTTCAAAACATCCATATATTATATCTGGAAAAGTCTTAACCATTAATAAATGCAATATGTTTATTGAAACAATTACTTATTTTAAAAAGTACCCTCCTGGATCACTTATATCTTGCTTCACAACAAATTTTGAGCACTTTTAAATCAAATTACCTCGTTTCTAGCATATTTTGAATTTCCATGAATTGTAGATCACTCCAAGTTTCTTGTTTGTTTGAAGCGAGATTTGTTTGAAGTGAGATTGTTTGAAGTGAGTTTGTTTGAAGTGAGGTGGGATAGTGGAAGTATTGATAATCAAGTGTAATCACAAAAAGTTCCTTGTAAAAAAAAAAGTTTATTTCACCAGGAAGCAGATACCTTCCAAGAGGAAAAAATAGAGAAGAAAAAATATTCAACTACCTGGGAAAAGGCCAGTCTTCCTCAAAATCAAGGAGCACCCACTCAAACGTAAAAGGGTAAGTGAAGCCTGATTGATGAAGGGCCTGGGAAGAGATAGTTTGTCTTATCAGGAAACAAAACATCTGTGCACCAGACTCCAACTTAAATGCCACCCATTTTATGAGTAGAGAGGATTAAAATTTTGTGCAAACTGCAAAATAAGCTATGAAGTGCTGGTAAAAGTACCAAAATTCCACAAAACTCTCCACCTCCTTGATATTTCTTAGAGGGTGACAAAATAGAGAACAGTTCACTTTGGCAAAGCCCATTTGGATGTCCTCAGAAATATATGGCACACTAGATAATCCAAAACACAAAAAATATTTCACAGGCTTACTTTCAAATTGTGTTGGAAAGGTGTTAATGTACCTGTTCAGTGCAAATAATTGGGTTTTCATAAGAAACACTATCAACAAATTATTTCAATATAGAATCAAATAAGAATCTAAATATTACTAAAAGTATTATTAATAAATCTTGTAAAGATCAAAGGAGCATTCATTCAATCCATTCATTCAATCCTTGTAGCATTAAACTTTCCATAATACATGACATTACAAATAATGCCCTTCCTTTATATAAATTAGATTGTAGCATCATACCCTTTCAAGATCCAACTTGGTAAAACCATGTTTTTGAAGAATGGTCTTAAACCTCTCCAAAATACTACCATATTTATTTGATTAGGGCCCTAAGAGAGTGAAATAAAACAGTTGTAGGAAATTATGTAGCAACTGCCATTTGATAAATTCATGCCATATACAAACCATTGGTTCATCACCTGCCTCAACTCATTCTTTTGGGCAAATTCTTGGATCTGATATTGGTCCAATGTGTATAATGAGATAATATAATGAAAGAATTCAGGTGATTGTGTGTGTATTTGTATGTGTTTATTGATTTATATTTCACATTTCTAAGCCAAAATAGTGTAAATCAGGGGTGTCCAACCTTGGCAACTTTAAGACTTGTGGACTTCAACTCCCAGAATCCCTCAGCCAGCAAAGCTGGCTGAGGAATTCTGGGAGTTGAAGTCCACAAGTCTTAAAGTTGCCAAGATTGGACACCCCTGGTGTAAATCATTCTAAATTCTACATTCTAGTGTGTATCATTCATATTCTAGTGTATATCATTTTAAATAAATGTGATGCAAAGTACTAGAAAAGTTAATCTGATTTGGGCGGGACAATCAACTTCCATCTCTTTCTTGTTTTGAAAATGGAATAATTTTCTATTCTATTTACCTTTTGGATTATACGCTCATAGAAATCCTCACTTTCTAATCCACAGAGATTTTACCTATATACATTCAGTCATTCTGAATGTTTGTGTATCATGGGAAAAAAAGCCTATTAAAGTATTGGGTTTCTTGTATTTTTGGATACAAACTAAATTTAAGTCAAGATTTTCCTCTATCTGCTGTCTGTTCAACAGACTGCTTTCCCTCAACGGGGGAAAAAAGTTTATTTTCTCTCACCTTTGTTTTAGATCCACAATAAATCAAGTAAGAGACACCACTGGCAAGTATTTTATACTAAAAAAAGTTTTTTGTTTATCAATTAAGCAATAAAGCACTCAATATATAAGGAGATTATCATTTAGTTTGGGAGTGGTCTACAGACGTAATTTATCACCTCAACATTTCAAACTGGAAGACCCTATTCTGACCAATATGGAGCTTGTGATTTGGGAGTGGAGATTCATTTTTTTAATTAAAAAATATGGTTGCAACCATGCTTCAAGGTGCTTAAAATCCTTAAGAAGGATGTACTGATCTAAAGTTCAGCTAGAGAAGCCTCTAATGTGGATGTAGTCCAAGAAACTTCCCAAGCATTTAAGAAACCTTCTTCTTCTTCTTCTTCTTCTTCTTCTTCTTCTTCTTCTTCTTCTTCTTCTTCTTCTTCTTCTTCTTCTTATTCTTATTCTTATTCTTATTCTTATTATTATTATTATTATTATTATTATTATTATTATTATTATTATTATTATTTATTTTTATTATTATTATTATTATTATTATTATTATTGCATGCAACAAATTCAATAAATTAAGATTAATGATATAGGTCAGCTAAATGTTGGGAATGAAGGTAAGGAATTGAATTTTATTATTTCTCTACATTTCTTTAGACAGTTGGGTAAAGTAGCATTTGAAGCTGTCTTTGAGCTTGGTTATATTCTGTGAGACAGAAAATAATACTCTGACCAAGGGATCACCAAGGAATAAACCGCATGCTCATCAAACTGACAAGGCAAGCCACTGTATATACCGGTAAATCAGCAACAAACCCAACACTCACTTACACTGGTAATGTTATCTAGCTGGGTGATGAAATGTCTGCAAGCAAACAACCAAGCTCAGAGAGCAATAAGAACTACACAGTTCAACCCTGAACCACAAATATTCTCTTTTACTAGAGGAATACTTTACTTTCTAATTGTACCTGGGGGCTGATAGAAAGAAAGCAAATCACAATACCAAGTGAGTGAGTGGAAGTACAATTGTGCAGGTATCAAGGGATGAAATTGGTCTCTTAAGCTTTGAAGACCAGATCCCAACAAACACATTTCCAACCGACCTCTTCAACAGAGGAGTTGGGGGAAAGAGACACCATGGAAAAGGAAGAAAAAATATTGTGAAGAAGGAACCAAGGGGACCACAGACAATTTCATGGGCCGGATAGCCACTCGCCCAATTTATTCTCTAATGTGAAGTGTGCAGAATATTGGAGTCTGGAGAAAAGTGGAAGACTCATTAAATGTGTACCAATAAACATGATACTTAAGTAGCATAACTGAAGGTAGACGACATCACTCAAGATGCATAGTGTATTCACAATCCCACTTGTCAAAAATTAGCAAAAATTACACACTTATTCATCCCTTCAATTAATCCTTAAAGATCACTTAAGGATGCTAATGCATTTGAATGTAGACAAATGTAGAAACAGGGATGGTTGATCTTCAGATTATTAAAGATTTCTTGAGAGGTATATATGTGTAGCATAAATTAGGATGGGCTAGAAGTAGTTAAAATGTATACACGTTATTTGACATGCTTAAGTGAGAGACACAGTGTCTCTCAGTGTGTGCAGATTTTTTTTAAAAAGAGGGAAAGGATGACCATGACAACAAGAATAAACAATAAAAAACTTTCCGATTTGTCATTGGAGAATTCATGGATACGAACATGAGCTCCAGGAACAAAAGCCTCCAAAACACACATATCTTTTTTAATACATTTCCTTCTGGTTTTGTCAATGGCCAGAATAAAAAAAAAAAAAAATCAAGAGTAGCTGCCTGCCTTCCTGCAAGGGGGTGAGGGAGTGAGGCGGGGAAAGGAAACAACACCACAAATTCATCTATGCATGCTAAACCTGCATCTGCTTGATAGATTTCATTTATCCCTCTCAGCCAGGGTTAATAAATTGTTAGATAAACCTGCTAGATTGTACAGGTCTTTAATCCTTGCTGTAATGTTTTCTCATTAGCCGCTCAGCACTAGCGGCAAGGAAGCCTGCCATGGCCGCAGGCACCACTGGAATTAATTACTAGAAGAAACATGGCTGTTTTGGAATTGTCATCTTGAATTTATCACTTGCCACTTAATGTAACACAACTGACCTAATACCTCCTCGGGGTCGCTGGGGGATTGGGCACTAGATCCACCAGGGTAATAGCAGGGGCCTCCTGTATGTCTAATGTGCCTGTATTTCTCAGCACGCATCTGCTGGAGGCCTGCCTGGAATCCTACCCTGGAGGCAAAGCGTGCTAACAATGTCCCTAGCAAATTGCAGATTACCTCTACGTCATGTTCCATCAGAAGCCAGGAGTGATTTGCAAGGGCTGGCAATCAGACGGAATTTTAGCCCTTTGGAGATGATCATCTTTCATTACAAGGGACGGAGTGCTTGCTTAGGCTAGCGTTTTCCAGAAAAACAACAAAATGGCTTGTTCACATGTGGATGTGAGTAAGTGGCTTCTGGGGAAAGAGAAAGGGGGTGGGGCCCTCTTGTCAGGCTTGCTTTTGCTTCACAAGCTCTGCAGAGACCGCACATTTAAATAACTTAAACAAGGAATGGTGTTTTGATAACAAATCGACAACCCATGCAGCTTTCTCCCAGAACAGTAAGCCCAACACTTTTATTCCAAGCTAGGTGAATCTACCCTCTTCTATTTCCCTTGAATTCTAGCAGGAGAGGCTGTGCCTGTTATTGGAGAGCAGACCACTAGCAATACAATGCAATATTTACATTTTAGATACAGCTGATCATCATAGAGGCAGGGTGGGACCAAAGCAAAGGGGGAGGGGCTTGGAATAAGGTGGCCCAGGTTCTATTTCACCCACCCACAATGCGGCCTGGAAGACTCTGGGCCAGTCAAGTCTCTCTCAGTCCAGCCTTCCTCACAGCGCTGTTTGAAGAAACATAATGGGCCTCCTTGAGTTGTTGAACATAAGGTGGTACATAAATACAGATAGTCCTCGACCACAATTGAACCCAAAATTTCTGTGGCTAAGGGTTTCTGTTGTTAAGTGAGTTTTGCCCCGTTTTACGACCTTTCTTGCCACATTTGTTAAGCGAATCACTGCAGTTGTTAAGTTAGTTGTTAAGTGAATCTGGCTTCCCCTTTGACTTTGCTTGTCAGAAGGTTGCAAAAAGGGATCACAGAATACTGCAACTGTCATAAATACGTTGACAAGCCTCTGAGTTTTGATCACATAACCGTGGGGATGCTACAATGGTCATATGTGTTAAAAATTGCTACAAGTCACTTTTTTCAGTGCCGTTGTAAGTTTGAATGGTTACTAAATGAACTCTAGTCAAGGACTGCCTGTAAATAATACTACGCCGGTATCCTAAGCCGACTTTTAAACAATGAAAAATAAAGTATTGGATTTTATAAAGATAACAGATCCTGGATAAGTCCATAGCTGTAGGATATCGAAATTCCTACTGTCTAATCACCACACCTTGATTTAAATGATTGTGGGATGATCTGTACAAAGATTCATTTTACTGTGGCTGAAGGACTCCTGTGTGTGAGAGATGCCATAAATTTTCTAATGATAAAAAGATAAATAACTAACTAGGCTCCAGTTGCCTTAGAAGAAGTCTTAAACCTTTTCCTCCAGCTTTGCCATCCTGTCCCCTACACACTCAACACAGTAAAGTGAAAGAGATGTATAAGGCCACATAAACATTCAGAGTTATCCTATTGTGTTTTAGAAGACTATTTATAGAGAAAAGCAAAATGTCTCCCTGAAGTATACTTAGATGTAAGCTTCCATAATCTTCCTGCTCAGACAGCAGGAAATCTAATATACCAGCACAATAAACCTGTAGGAAACAAGGGTTTTATACAGCATTAAGAGGCACAGTATTAAAACACCAGAAAGATATTTTTAAGAGCTTAGAAAATCATGGGACGTTTTTTCCCCTCACTGAATGAGAATATTGCTGCAAAAGTTTCAGATTTCTCTTGGAAACTTTGTTGTTGACTCAGTTTTGTTCTGTGATCCCTCTGAGAATTGCAATATAAATGTTTTTAACAAAGATCAATATTTTAACAAAGATACTTGTGGCCTGCAGGTATGAACGCAATATGTTATCTACCCTCAATTTGTGAATTTGTCAGGAGATTTTCCAAAAAGGAAACTAGCCTGAGTACAAGAAGCTGATTTCTTCCTCATTCAATTCTCATACCAGGGAATTTATGTCCAGTTCCCCAACACACTCAGCACAGTTCTGCTCCCAAAATCTGGAGAACAAGAATTTGTTATAAATAGCTCTAAAACAATTATATTTTATTTTCCATACTATTCCCAAGAAGTCACCATGAATCAAGTTAAATATAAATTATTTGCTTTTTAAAAAAAAAGAAAGAAGGAACATGAAGTATGTAAGTGGAGCAGGCAGGGAAGTAGAGACCCAGAGAGATCATAAATGGAAAAATCTGAAAGGGATCCATCAAGGAAATTTGCTGATTCTCAATAGAGAAACATCCTCAATATTATTTTTCTCTTTGTTTAAGGATACCTCCTCATCTCTTTATTGTTCTTTTCCTTTCATTTACTTTGTTTCCAACTAGCTCAATAGTTATGATTTCTATTAAAAAGTTACTAAGTGATATTCACAGAAGTCCATGGCAGGACAAGGGGTTACAAACGGCAAACTGCGTGGGATGATACCGTGTTTCTCATATAATAAGGCCGGGTCTTATTTTATTTTTTTGAGCCCTGAAAAAATGGCTAGGTCGTCTTTTTGGGGGTGACTTAATTCCCCCCCCTTGCATCTTCGGGCGGGCGGGCGGTGACAGCTTGGATATTGACCTCAGTGTTGATGGGGCACTTTGTATCGGGGTCAACGCAGGCAGCACCATATCAGGGTGTGCAACAAAAGTACTTCCTAACAGCAAGCCCCCCCCGCCATCCCCCCCCATTTCGCAAGTTTTAATATAGGCCTTAATTTGGGGGGAGGGGCTTAATTTCATTTCATCCCAATAAAACATGCTGGGACTTCCTATTGGGGGAGGCCGTATTGTTGGAGAAACAGGGTATTATGACACAAAAGAGATGACCCTTATAGGTTGCATCCAATTTTAGGAAGAAAGGACAAAAATGGGCGAGTTACAATTTTGTCCTTTAGGTTTCTTCTTCAGTTTTCTCACCTTTTGTTACATACCAACGTAGTTCTCTTCTTAGTCCACAGTTCAGGCGGGAGTTTAAGTCGTTGTTTTATTGGCGGCCGGTCTGACAGCTGCAATATAAAAGAGGCTGTCAGAAGGTGTCAGTTGTTGCCCACCACCACACACGAATTAGTTAACTTGTGGCAGCCGCGGGTAACCAGTTATGTTAATAAACTGTTAACTGTTAAAAGATTAGTCTACAATTACTTGGCGCCGCCAGTCTAACACCTTTCTTCCTCAAAATGACAAGAAGTCAAAATTCAATGGATAATTTAGAGGGGACCAATGGAGCACTAATCAATAATTATAGAACCCAGGTGATCAGGTTTTTAAAGCTTCATTGAAAAGAGGAGTGGAAGGGGAAAGTCTGCTCACTGGTTTTGCCTTTATTTGTAATCTGAGACAGAATCTATTGTGCATGATATGTGATCGGTCAGATTTCATATTCCATCATGGAAGAGAAATTTCTCACCGATGGTGGAATCTAACTGGATTGCCCTCCTATCTTCTCAACAGCCTCTATAGCTGGTTCTTCCTATTGATAAGAGGTTGTGTGGTAGATATGGATCCTTTAGTCACCTGCCTCTCTCATTCTGTAATGAAATCAACACCTGCTCTCAGACAGGACTAAATTTGTGCTTTCTTCCCCAAGACAGATAGTAAAGGCTTGTGCTGTCCCAG